CTTTCTATGTTATCTGATACTAATTGCATTTCGGAATCATGGAATTCTCGTCGGACCAATGCATACTTCGAACAAGTAGGACGACCGTCATCGTTGTGTCCAACAGGTGCTCGCACTCACCGTTGATATACCATCAACGGGTGGTCATAATACGATGTTCGTAGGTACCGTTTGAAGGTCGTACGAAGTCGCGTGTTACAAGTAAATGGTGTTGCTAAATTACGTTACATGCCCAGGTAACATTGCTAAATTGCCTTTCCAGTACTCATTATTTTGTAAGCTGCTAGCGGGAAGGATGAAGATGGGAAAGATGAAAGATCATGTTTATGTCCGTGATATATTTATCTTACATATATTACATTTATGTCTATACACGTCATGGTAGGTTTCACCAAAGTGGTAAACGCCAGAGACCCGCATCACTTTCATCCTTCATTAAGGCGACACGCCGTGATATAATTGGACTACTGTTAAAAGCGGCGTTTAACCCAACTCACTCACTCACCCATGTATCACTAAGACTCTCACGTCAACGATCATTTGTAAATATATGCTTTCAAGTAATGTCCAGCACAACCAATTGTACCCAAACTGCTTAATTCTTTTCAATGACGTTTTTAAAAGCATATCATAAATGTCTTTTACATGACACTCAATGTAACTAATATGTTGATCGGAAGTACCCACGTCACCTCATGATGAATGAACACCACCGACGGTGTTCGTCTTAGAGCCTCAAGACAATATCTGAAAATAGTATGACACAATGGCCACAGCCGTTATACAAAACATATTATCAACAGTGGATAGAGGGAGTTTTCACTTAAACTGTCGTTAAGTAGATGCCTGCCAAATTCCATTGAAAAACAACCTGTATACCGAATAACCTAGTGTGAGGTGATGGGGTTTAACGTCGCGTCAAAGAATATTGCAATTATATAGCGACGTGCACGCTTTATAGTGCTAGACCACTGAAACATAAATGCCACAGTTTGCTGGCTCCGAGCCGACCAGTTATTGTTCTAGCCCTTAATGCAGACCGCCAAACAGGGTAACAACAAGTACAATCTTTTAACGTCTTTTGGTATAACGCGGCCGGGAATCGAACCCCAGACTTCCGCTCTCCGTGCGGACGCTGTACCACTAGACCACGGAGGCGATCGGTACAATAAATACACCTGAAACAAGGAAATAATAAAACATTGATGTTGATTATACCTTTGAATTAATTGCAAAGATGGTCATATGTCTATGTCAGCTGATATAAATTCCGTTAGAATGTTCGACATTATTATGGCGAGAGATGTATTAACCTCCACCTGACCTTGTTCGTATACTGACTTTATAAGGCGTATACTATTTCAAGTATGTCTATGTACAGATGTATTGAGGTGTACAGATTAAAATCAGTGTTAACATTTGTCAAGTGTGACCCAAAACGTGCCTCGAAACCTTCCATAAGGTGGTATTTATGCTTATCTTGACTATAACCCGTTGAGTTATGTGAATATTTTATTATAACAAACATAGCCAATCCAAATACGTCAGGGGATATGTACATAGCAATGTTTGGTTAGGCGTTGATGACCTGTAGCTGTCAATCCTTGCTCTTGAACGTCTCAACATGATTACATTAAGCACAAGGCAACATGTTTAACAGGTGCAATCCTCCATAACAAGACTTACCTTGTCGGTAACATACTAATATCAAAGTGAAAATGTTTAAAACATACAGCACCTTCATATTTGGGTCGTACATCGCTTTATCCGATTACGTTTGTATAAGTAAGTATATTGTAATATGTCACACATAATATATTTATATATGTTGTATACTTGTGTTAACATTCAGGCCTTACGCATGACCTCATGAATAATACGTGTATACTCGACTTTGTTATATGATGTTTTATACATTTCTGCATGGTTGCATTGTGGATGAAACTAAAGTGTCGGCTTGTCAGTTGAGTTGCCTCTGGCTCTAGTCCGTGCATTCTGGGTACAGTTTGTGTGGCCCATTATTTTCGCCCCCCTAGAGACTGGCATTTGTTTTATCATGACGTTTTAAAGCTGAGACAACAACAAAAAACAGAAAATGTTTTGCGTCCGCATTATGTGATGAGGACCCTCTCATAGGTCCATTTTCTAAAAACGTTTCACAATTTTATATCTGGGAAATTCCCACTTCCCTAAATTCAAAATTGTCTACCGCATGCGGATTATTGGTACAATAGAAGAAAGTCGGTTTGCTCTCAGAAAAGAAGATATCATTAATCGCAAATGATCTGACAACTTTTTATATGTGAACGATGTGAAACCCCTTCAGGTACACAATACATGTGACATAACTAACCACAATACCATCTGTCGAGGGGAAATACCGGACATCCCCCAAAACGCCACACACGAAGCATATGCCCGTGGCGGGGGATGTTTTGAAAGTTGAGGATTTCTGGGAACCGTCTGCGAAAACATAATTCCACAAATCGATCGGAAATGATCACCATTTCTCGTGTTTTGTCGCAAACTTTATAAGAATATTCGAAATTGGTAAAAGTTTCATGCATGTTTGCATATGTGTTCTCGTATTAGAAGTACAATGTTACATTGTTATATATTTGATAGTGGCGGCGGACTAAACCAAGAGGTTAAAACGTTTGCTTGAAGACCGATGATGCCCCGGGTTCGATTCCGCGCCTGTGTAAACTATGTGAAGCCCGTTTTGTCTGTTCCTCTCTATGACAAAGCTTTTCTAAAAGCTGGGTAAACAATTCTCACTCATTTTATAATCGATGGTGTGGACTGTAGTTATAAGGGTCGGTATGAGTGAGTGATTTTTAATAATATTCAAGATAACCACGACGAGGAACCAAGATTGGCCTTCACACATTGCACCAATGTCTTGCATAGTGATCGGTATTGCACATGTACTTAAGCCAAAAGACATACTAGTACCTAGTTAACGTTTACCATAGAAATAGTTACAGGGATGACACGAATTATCCTTTGTCAAATAAGTGACTCATTCATGTTTGTTTTTAATGACGAAGTGATACATTTACTATTGGCAACACATCATCGTCTCATTTGAGTTACAGCCAACCCATGCACTTATTGGAATCTGGTTAGTCCCCAATTTCATTCGTCGCACTGTCAGAGATTAACGGCGAAAAATACTCCTAGCTGACGTTAGCCTCTAGTGTCATCGAACGCTATTTTGGCAATGACCGTTACATTATTATCCGCCACCAAGTTCATTACAACGAAGGAAAATCTATATTAGCAAAAGGCACAATCTACCCCTTCTTCAGGATGTAATCGGTCAAGTCACCATGGCTTGTTTGCCGTACTGAGCCGTGAGTTGAGCCAGATCGTCCGTTTCACAGTTTTACCCTTGAGCCATTTACTTGAAACAATTAGGTCAGTGCTTAACCAAGGTACACAGACAACAAGAAAGCTCCATAAGAGGACAACACAATTGTGTGTTTAGTCTCAGCGCAAAGAATCTACTTAGTCGGCATTTATTTCACACCGTCCTCTTGATAAACAATCACTACGCTTCATATCTCTTCATTGAGGAACCCGAGGCTTGAGAAAGCCGTATGATTATTTTCATCCGCGGATTACATCTAAGCCTTGATATAATGTTACACATTACGCCTTGTCATATACGCGCTGGAACAGATAGGATCTTCCGAAACCATATGGTGTAAATGATGCGTTAGTGTAGTTTCTGTTGAACCAGCCTGTTTACAATGGCTAAGTCCACAATTACCCTTCACGTCATCAAATATGGACTTAACCCGTGTGTGGCCTATATGCATCCACGAGCTACTTTGTTGCTGCCTGGGTGTGTAGGTTGAGGCCGTGTCACCATGTATTGTGATGTAATGTAAATGAGAACAGTGTGTCCGGAAACGCCGTGTGACGTGACACACAGATTGTAAATACAGTATTTGTTTGAAAACGACAGATACAAATGTGTGTTCGTTTTCATTGTTTTCTGTTTGTGTGAGAGGAAAGTCCGAAGTGATGCAGGTCCTAGACGTTTACCACTTTGGTGAAACCCAACAGCATGGGTATGGTGCTGACAAACCTGGAAACATAATCAACCGTGATACGAACCCACAATCACAGGTTTCAGGCGTGTCCAAGGGACGGCGAGATAGTGGACAATGGATCAGTCAGTTTTCGTCGGGGAAGGAGGGTTTAGGGTGGAGTTTTGGGTTTGGATGTTAGAGAAGGGAGGGGGATGGTTTGCGGCTCGTTTGTGTGCGTGTACAGGGGACTGCCGGTGGTTATCTGGAGTAATAAAATTGTAAATATTGCATGTAAATTAAAAGCTTTGTCTTTTTTCCGCATGTATAATGACGAACAAATTATAGAAAGCATAAAATGTTAAATGACAATAGTCTTGTATTTTTTACCGAATATGAAGTCCAACCTTTAGGCGTTGGTTCCGAACACTCTTTCAAACCAAAAACTGTTAATTTAATCTTATCAATCAGCACTGCATGACTTAACTACCTGCCTATTGTATACAATGTTATCGAATATATTTATTATGTATTCTATTCTATGTTTTTGCTTATTTCGCTGATGAGGTTTTCAGGTTGTAAGAAACCAAAATTCCTCAGGATAATAATGTCTATCATATCTTTTCTTTGTATTGATGAAGTATACTTCTGAAAATACATGTAGTTTAACGTGAATATTTAAAATAAATGTGTTCACAATCTGAAACACCCAATATAAAATTGTACACGACATATACGACTCTGATTAACATAAACATGGAATGCTAAATAATGAAATCCTTACATCGTGTTACACTTTGTAACACTAAATATTTATGCAAAAACTTGTACTTTGTCATTAAGTTCGTTTAACACAAAACTTATACAGGACAGATTTCCATAACGGATACATTACCTTGTTTTCTCGGAAATATTCATAATTTTCGTTCCTGTTTAGTGCATGTATTTATAATTTGTTTTCAGGAATCTGGCAACGTCCAAGTTCGAGCCGGTCGATGCGAGGAGAGCCTTCCCCTGTTTTGACGAACCTAATATCAAGGCTGCCTACACTATAACCCTCCTCCATGAGCCGGACTACACGCCCTTGTCTAACATGCCGCCCCAGGCTGGCCAGGTAATCGCTGACACATCACACACATCTCTCTCTCACACACACACACACACGCACGCACGCACGCACGCACGCACGCACGCATGCATGCACGCACGCACGCAATCTCTCTCTCTCACACGCACACACACACGCACACACACACGCACGCACGCACGCACGCACATCCCTCTCTCTCTCTCTCACACAAACATACACACACACACACATACACGCACGCCTGCACGCCTGCACGCACGCACGCACGCACACACACATCATTCCGCGGCCCTTCATGCTATGTTTATAAATTCAACATGAAAGTAGAAAGACAATAAAAAACTAGGCTGCCAAGGCACAACAATGAACATGCGGATCAATGGAATTTGTCAAGGTAGTGCAAAGTGTACAGACACTGGTCTTAAACTGACGGAGATGCCCCAGTACGTATATCAGATTTTAATAATCATATAGCACTTAAGCAATACGTTCAGATTAGTATCACCCTCTTCATAAATGATGGTTGTTGTAAGGCCTCATGGAATAGACAGGGAGAGGAAGCGCCTAGGAGGAGTACAGTATTGTGACCTCAAATGTCATACGATGGCTGGAGGTATAATACAATGTCGTTTGAAATTTATGTTGCATTGTTTTTACACTTCGTATATCCCATCACCAACAAAATCTTCCAATTGTTTGAATGTTTCGTATGGCTCTGGGTGTGGATTCGTAAACTACATCAGCATCTGGGCCCCACTCCACAAACCGATCTTAGTGCCACGACAGTCATAATGCGTTACAGTAAGGGAGTAACCTCTACGATCACTTTATAGGACGATTACCAGATTAGATTAAAGTGTCATCTTACAATCGTCGACACATGAATAAACACTGCCGAAATTGATCTATTGATGATCAGCAGCATGCGCCTGCTCACATTTTACTTAAGAATGAAATTTTATCATCAGTTGTAGAATCAAGCTATTTGATAAGCCAAACAAACGTCAGCTGGTTAGTCTATATATTGATTAAGACAGCTATTCTATAAGCTATTCTGTCAAATCAAAAATGACCTTGCTCTCACTTTGCGTTTCCACATCGACAGTCCACTAGTGTATTCAAGATAGATCATAGTGTCATACAAATCCAAATACATTAATCTTTGTAACTCGTGCAATAGTAATGACACATTCGACGCAAGTGTCACGAGTGAGGTTTACGATGTTTACTAGTTGAAAGTTCATGCAATCATTTCGACCTCAGTCTCGTGTGGTACAATAGCCATTAGTGTAATCATTTCGACCTCGGTCTCGTGTGGTACAAGGCCATAAGGGTAATTTTTTCGACCTCAGTCTCGTGTGGTACAAGGTCATTAGTGTAATCATTTCGACCTCGGTCTCGTGTGGTACATGGCCATTAGTGTAATCATTTCGACCTCAGTCTCGAGTGGTACAAGGCCATTAGTGTAATCATTTCGACCTCAGTCTCGTGTGGTACAAGGCCATTAGTGTAATCATTTCGACCTCGGTCTCGTGTGGTACAAGGTCATTAGGGGAATCATTTCGACCTAGGTCTCGTGTGGTACAAGGCCATTAGTGTAATCATTTCGACCTCAGTCTCGAGTGGTACAAGGCCAATAGTGTAATCATTTCGACCTCAATCTCGTGTGGTACATGTCCATTGGTGTAATCATTTCGACCTCGGTCTCGTTTGGTACAAGATCATTAGTGTAATCATTTCGACCTCGGTCTCGTGTGGTACAAGGCCATAAGTGTAATCATTTCGACCTCGGTCTCGTGTGGTACAAGGTCATTAGTGTTATCATTTCGACCCCAGCCTCGTGTGGTACAAGGCCATTAGTGTAATCATTTCGACCTCAGTCTCGAGTGGTACAAGGCCATAAGTGTAATCATTTCGACCTCAGTCTCGTGTGGTACAAGGCCATTAGTGTAATCATTTCGACCTAGGTCTCGTGTGATATAAGGCCATTAGTGTAATCATTTCGACCTCAGTTTCGAGTGGTGCAAGGCCATTAGTGTAATCATTTCGACCTCGGTCTCGTGTGCTACAAGGCCATTAGATCACAAAATTCTTTAACCAGCAGGTGACACATGTAACTAATGGCACACCAAGTCTGCCATATGTCCTTTACCCCTCTATATTTCTAGGAATAGTCAAAGAGTGAATGTTTTACACGGTATATGAATATCAATATCAAACACAATCAGCAATTGGGATCTGTTCGTGATTTCGTCACCGAAACATTGCCCAGTCCCGCATTGAATGGTTTTGAATCTCTTTCGAATGGCTACAAAATATTTGAATATTGTAAAAGCCAACGGAAAACACTACACCATTTGGTTACCATAAGAGCAAAGTTCCATAGAGATATCATCGTACTTTGTTTTAAATAAATAACTTCAGTTACGAGGAGTTTTTTTAACAGTCATTTTACTGCAAAGGGTAAACTTAAGAGCGACAAGTGGGCACGATCCTCCAGGCATATTATCATCTGATGGCTGTGTTGTCGTTGTAGCCGACCAAGGTTCCGTGGTCCCCCACCCTTGTGTCAACGCGATTCCAGAGATCCGTCATGATGAGCACCTACCTCGTCTGCTTCATCGTGTGCGACTTCGACTACGTAGAAGACACGACAACTTCAGGAACAAAGGTTGGTTGTTAAAGAAGAAGAAGCACCCAGCTGTTGTTATATACATATACAAGGGTTTTGATTTTCTGACGTCTAAGTGCCGTCTCAGGAACATCTGTAAACATAGCCGACAACCATTACTTTGTGAAGATAATGCATGATTAAATAAAAAGAAAAGAAAAATAAGTAGAATACAAGGATATTCATGCCATGCGTTCATTTGTTCCATACAGAACACTAAACGTTGAATCAGAATGAATCGGTTTTGCTTTTAAAACATGCAAAAAATATATTATTTGGTATCGCCAGCTATATCTTCTGTGAATAATCTGTAACTTATTACTATAAATGCCTTACCTGTGAAGCTCCGGTTTTTAAAAGAGGTCTTCGGCAAACCATGTCTTGTGAGAGGCGACTATGCTTGTCGTAAGAGGCGACTATTGGTATCGAGTGGTTGATGCATGTCATCGTATACCAATTGCGTAGATCGATGCTCATGATGTCAATCACTAGATTGTCTGATGAAGTATCGATTATTTACAGACAGCCTTCATATAGCTGGAATATTAATGAGAGTGGCGTTAAACAACAAACAAACAAACAAATCAAGTGAGTCTGGTTTCACGCCACTTTTAGCAACATTCCCGCAATATCACCTCAGGGGACACCAGAACTTGGATGAACACAGTGTAACCATGCGCGTATGTCATTGATTTTTAAATGTACATTCGCAAAGCTGTGTTGTCGCCAAGACTGAAACCTATGACAAAAACAAATATTGGTTTATTTCAATTCTTTAGCATTGTGCAAAACATGTATTACAGTAGTTTTTTTTCTGATGGACTGGAGTGTTCTCCTGCAGATTCGTGTATACGCCACCCCCGACAAGATCAACCAGACTCGCTACTCCCTGCAGATTGGTAAACACTCAATGGAGGAATACGAGAGGCTATTTAGATTGCCCTATCCGTTGCCTAAGCAAGGTAAGACGTCAAACCATCAAACACATAAACATAGTTTTTGAAATAACAGGACAAAATGGAAAAGAGGTCCGCCCAGGATGTTGCTTTGACCCTCGGCTGTTCTATAAAAAAACTATGTTTATGGAGCTGGTATCTTTCCTTTCGTTAAAACATTTTATCTTATTTATTTCTATTTTATTTAATGCTGAGCTCCAGTATGAACTGATATGTTTTCTCGTTTATCATTTCATCAGTCTCTACACAATTACGTTCGTATGCGCCAGTTTCTTGTGGTTGTGGCGCTAATTGAATTATGTTTGTGTGTTTACACTGAATTACATAAATATGAATTCTCATGATATGGTCGGAATCGTTTAATCGACTCTCCTTTAGGCAGATATTTCTTATGAGTACTGAAATGGTTTTGTCGCTTTAATTTAAGAATATTTGATATTTACCTAGTTGTGTGAAACATTTTGTTAATTTATTTTTATAAAAGACTTAAATCCTAAAACCTGGCTTGCAGTGGTATTACTGGAGCTATCTATCTATAAAAGGGACGCTACTCCGTAAGTTCAAAGGCGTAAGCGGCATCGTCCGTATGAAAGGTGTTTTTTTCTGTGACAAATGTATGAAGATAACCTTAACCAATCTCATGATAAGGTTAGAATTGAATGTATTTAGTAATCTTTCAAATATTCTGTAAGGGTAAAGTGTTTTAACATTATGAAGTCCGGTCCGGTTCAATTATTCGGTAAAACAATCTATGAAAGGCTGTTTGTCTGACTTTTAAGAAATATCTTGACTGTTCACTTAAGCCGTTAGCCTACTCACGTACATGGTCGTTTAAAACGTAAATCTAGTCATAAAATGCACATTTGATTAACACTGAACACATAACAATTACACACATCAAATCCAACTGTCAGTACAGTTTCATATATCTTCCTGTCAGGGACCTGCAGTCACCTTCAACCTCACAAATGGTTCACCTCTGTTACCGTGATTGTGGTTCACAAAGCATTTAAGTGACGTTTCAGTAGGTCCGTTTGAAGATGGCTGCCTTCCAGATTGGTCCCTGTAATGACGTCGTTAGAGGATGAGCGCTAGGTTATTATAGAAAAAGCTCCTCTGTCAAAGGAACAAAGATACCATTTGCATTAGAACTACTATTCTGAATGGAGCTACTGGATACTTGTAAAGGCCGGACTACAAATTGACACAATCAGTGTCTGAATCATGTGTTGTATCAAATACCAGTTCCGGCCTCCCAATAATGAGAAAAGCTGAAGTTCCGTAGAAACCTCCTCGGTGGCAGTGATTTGAAACGTGAAAGATTAATTATGTTTTTGGAGACAAAGAGTACACTCGGTTAGAGATCATATATTGTACACCAGATGAAAGAAGAACAATTTCAGTCATGTTTTATAACAGTCGCGTTTCCTAATAGATTTAAGATGGGCGTGGTCTGTTAATTTTGAAACGAATCTTAATTTGGTTGACATATGAAATGATATTGCGTTTCGGAAAAGATCGATTAACTAGAAGACATCAGTCATATTTCATGCATTTCATTTTAGTTTAATCATTTGATCGCGTGACTTATGTCCTATTTTGAAATTATTGGGATTATAGGACTTTTCGAATTCTATTTCGCAGGTTTTTTTTCATATTTTCATAAATATCATGTAGAAATTCCAAATCGTAATCTTCATAAAGAATAATATGATAATATTTTCCCAGGCGGAAATGTATGTTTTTCTGTCACTTTCTAGTTTTAAGAATTATAAAAACAAATAATGTGATTTAAAAATGCGGGTTTAATTCATTGTGCAAATCGACAAATACTAATGGTTGCCATTCGTATTATAAATCTGACGCTTTTTGTGATATGGCATATACAAATGGAAAATAAATCACAAATAACAAGGTTTAGTGTGTAGATGTTTGTGAATTTTAAATGAACAACATTTTCGAATAGGATTGACATAATGAAGCTTACCAAATACAAAATCAGCAAGAATGGCTTTTGCATTGTTTCAACTGGGAGTCCTCGCCCCAGGGTTGTCTGTTAATCTGGACAATAACAGAAAGACGTTAGGACCACTAAAAATATACGCTATAGTTTATCAAAAGCCCAATCTGCATTATATTTTCCCCTTGCAGACATGATAGCGATCCCCGACTTTGTGTCTGGAGCCATGGAGCACTGGGGCCTGATCACGTACAGAGAGACTAACCTACTATATGACCCCAGCAAGGCCTCATCGGCCAACAAACAGAGGGTTGCTGTGGTAGTGGCCCACGAAATTGCACATCAGGTACATTAGAGGCAAGGTTTGGTGTTGTCTGGAAGCTACCAAATGACAAAACCAATAACCTGAATAAAGTGACAGTTTGAGAAACAGAAGTTTTTGAAAACTAGATGAAAACTAGATGATAACAGTGAAACCTTGTCAGTACGGACACCTTTAGTCCGGAAACCCCGCAAACAGGACGATAATCTGTGGGAAGGTTTATAAGTTTATACAATTAAAGGAACATTACTATAGTCCCATGATTCGGGAAGCATGTAAATTGGTTAACAGGTCCGTCCAGATTAACGAGTTTCATTGTGCAAAAGCAATCTAGAACACGATGCGTCGGAGCCGAAGTTCGACATTGTCGTTGATGAGTCAACCTATCTGGATTTAATTTCATGCCCGAAGTACGTGGTCAGGTGAGGTTAAATGGGATTTAACGTCGCGTCCAAGATTATTTCACTTATATTGCGACGTGGATGCACGTGTTTGTGTGGCTGCTTGTATTAGTCCTGACTGATGTCGATTTATAGTGCTAGGACACAGAGATAACATGAATACCCCACTCAGACACAGTATACTGACTCGGAGCCGACCAGTCATTGTTTTAGTCCCTTGATGCCGACCGCAGGACAGGGTGACAACAAGTACCATCTTTTAATGTCTTTTGGTATTATCGAACTCCGGACCTTCCGCTCTCCGGGCGGACGCTCTACCACTAGACCACGGAGGCGGTCTCCGAAGTACGTGACGTGTGTTTGAACATGACAGTGAAGGATGCAGTTCTCACCTTGGTATCTCCATCCCCCTTTATTCCCTTAATGATCTTTCCCCGGTCCCTTTGTTTACCTGATATGTCGTACCTATATTAGATCTACCTCTGATTTGACACACTTACTTTTACGTACAGAAAATCCCTTCATTCAAATAAATCCACATAAAAAAGTAGATTCATGCTAAGTCATCGTATGTGATGGCGTGGACTACCACTGCCTTACCTGGTCGATAACTGAAATGTTCCTGACTGCGGCGTTAATCAACATTCATTTTTCTGTGACCTTGGTCGATTTACTATTGCAATTACTTGTGATAACAAGTTCTAATTCCTGGTAATAGATATATACAGTTCCGTCTATATTTATTTCTTCAATATATTTTTTCAAAGGGTGACACCTTTACCGTTTGGATGTTAACACATATCACATAGTTGTCGTTTGCAAAGCATTCCAATAAATACACACACCCTTTGTCCCATAAATTTTATCAACCACAAACGATATTTGTCATGGTGATATTCATCTGCCAAACATTATTTTATTATTGATTTTCTGTCATTCCGGCTTCATAAAATATTTAAAAGCTGTAGCGTTTGAGTCGGGCGAAATGTAAGTCAATTGAGTTTGCAAAAACGAGTATTTAGTTCATGTAACAATGAAGCTCGTGTTAGTTAATGTAACGTTAATGAGCCCAACACATCCAATTTCAACAAACTAAATTTCACGCTTGTAACTGTTTGTCCTCTGGGAAATCGTTGAATGAAGCCCGGAATCTCTGTCACTGTACACGTAAAGCTTGGCAAGAATACTGTTTTTGTTCTGATTTCCCCGGAGTTAGTTAATTCTCTGAACATACGTTCGTTCACCGTAAGGACAATGAACTTCATACGTTGAAAGCAAAAAGGCCGTGACAATTATATCTCATGCTTGGCAAGGCAAATGTACCACAGTTTAGTCTGCGAGTAATTGTATTGATTTTGCGGTGTCTGACTATTTCTCCTTTGGCTGATTAAAAGGCATTGTTTAACTTTATCACAAGGAATCTATAACTTTAAAGTAACAGCGCATTTTGTTGGACATTTTTAATTTCTTTCGAAAATATTTTCATTAAAGATATAGTATCTATAGTACTCCAACAGGCCAACGTAAATCCCCATTTCACCTCACCTCACCTCCTGAAGGCCAACGTGTCGAAATATCTACATATTATTGGGAAAGGTCATCACCATATTGTAATACAAGGCAAGTAGAGAGATTGAATGTAACGTCAAGATGTGGATGAGTGAGTGAGTGAGTGCCCATTTGAGTAAAGGGAAGAAGCAAGTAGACCGGATTACTACAGTAAAATATGGTTATAACGAACTGACGGATATAACGAACATACTTTTTTTGTCCCGACTATTTTGCTCTAGTTATGCTGTATATATGCTTATAACGAATTCGAACTACGGTTATAACGAACTAAAATTAGTAGTCCCTTTGAGTTCGTTATAACCGCACTTTACTGTATAACACCATCAACCAGCATGTCGTTCAAATTCTCTACACAATCACGTCCTGTTAATCTGGACCCTGACATTCTGGATTCTTTCCGGGCATTTACTGTTTGTATATCCAAAGAGATGATGTGTTATGTTGTTCAACCGGCCAATCTCACTGCTACCTGCAGAGATTAGCTGTACGTGTCTGACAGTGTCTGTAACCTTTTCCATGTTAGTGGTTCGGGAACATCGTGACGATGGACTGGTGGGATGACCTGTGGCTCAACGAAGGCTTCGCCAGCTTCATGGAATACCTGGGAGTGGACACGTACGAGCAGGACTGGGACATGGTCAGTATGTGACGCATCCCTCAATGAGTGATGTGGGATTAACGCATCTTGTAACAGTATTTAAGGGATATGGCGTGTTAGGTTAAGGTTAGGTTAATGTGGATTGATAACATAATACAGGTGTCGGGAGTTTACCCGTTTGATGAACCCGAGGGCTGACAAACAAAGGATCTTAAGTTTAATCGTGGATTCCCTCTCATTCACAACGCTACGTGTAGCGCCTTAGTCCTCTGAACATCTAAAACCTTATCTAGAGAATATTCGATATTCCAACGAAACAGTTTCCACTGGGCGTAAAAATAATGCACGGATTGGCATAGTCCTTTTGTAACCTTACACTTTTAGACTAATTATTATATTTTTCCTAATTAAATTTACAATACACTGTAACAAAATCATACACGCAGAAGCAGGCATATTTCCCCTCGTAATCTTTCTTTCATCATGATATCATGATATATATATATATTATAAGCGTTAGCTCGTAAGTAAGTAAGGCATATGATAATATGGAAGATTGTTGTGTTATCACTGACAGAAAGAGTATTAGGTGTTCGCGTGGAGGGAAAACATGTTCCCCCTCCATGTCGAAGTTGCGTGCCGCTGAGCAAGGAGGTGTGTATAAGTCATAGCAAGGGACAGTAACTTGTTGACAAATGACGTGTCATATTTAGTAAATCCTTCCATAATATTTCTAGGCTTTTCAAGGAGACATCTCAGCTGTATACAGAAGGTGTATTTTTATTAAATTGGAATAGAATGTACACGCTCTAAAGTACCTAAGCAGTTGAGAAATGTAGACACTATAAGCTGGTGCTGATGGTGTATTGCGCGATCTAAAGGGAAATTCACGATGGGAAAATCCATATATCTCTTGTATAGCTTGGTACAGAGACAGTCATCGTTTTGATTTTCTATACACAAATCCAAGACCCAATCACGCAAGGAACAACAGTTTTTTGTGTAAAGTTTTCGAAAAGATGTTTAACAACAAAAGACATAGTTCATAAGCAACAGTGTGTGGTGTCATTTGATGGAGGGATCATTGACAGCAACGCCGTCAAACAAGTGTCAAAATAAGTTAGTTATGTAACTATAAGTAACTTTACTGTGGTTACTTCCAATGGCACAAATAGTCGACTTCGATCAATGTGTACTATCTATGACATGATCTTCTGTCCAGATGTCCCAGTTCGGCATCGAGGATCTACAGCCTGTGATGGTGACGGATGCTGGGGTGGAGTCGCATCCGATTGTCGTCCCAGTGTATAAGCCCACGGAAATCAACGCCGTTTTTGACAGCATCTCATACAGCAAGGTGAGGGACATGTTTGGATTAACGCTGCTATGCCACTGCAGCGCAGCTATACGTGGAAGGAAAACCTAAACACCGAATGGTTCAAACCACCAGCGCATCCAAACTTACATAAGGGATGCAACTCTGCTTAACGATGCGATGCGCCGGAGAACGCTGGTTATTGAGATTAGGTGCTCACAGAATAGACTTAACAATGTGTATCTTAATTAATACGTCACCCGTTTCAAAAGTGTATGCTGGCTATCATACCATGAGCTCATTGAGTTAATTAATTTCCACACTGCTTTTTTAATCTCAGAATCAATGAAACTAATTATCGTTTTTATCAAAGAACATCTCAGCTGCAGCTGTGCACTGTGTTATCAAAGCAAAAAATTGATTTCAAGAATTTGATGCATGACAGAAAGATCAGACAAGACCTTATTAGTTTTTACATGATGACATAAATACTTTCTACAGCAATGTGTATTTCCATCTTTTCCCAAGCTGTCCGCAGTGGAAAACGTTGCTTCTGAAGGTTAACGTGACATGCTAGCTTTGTATGTTATAACTAAGAATGCAAATATGTATAAGTTTCCCTTTCTAACTAAAGTGAACTTCCCTGTAAAACTGAGGCGATGCGTTTTGGCATTCATAGAAAGCTAATGAGAAGAAACGTCAGTGCAATTAATATATAAAAAATAACAATACGAAAGGTGCAAAGTGATGAGTGAGATATTAAGTGGATGTGTGGGTGAGATATTACGTGGATGTGTGAATGAGATATCAAGTGGATGTATGAGTGAGATATCAAGAGGAAATGTGAGTGAGAAATTAAGTGGATATATGAGTGAGATATTAAGTGGATGTGTGAGTGCGATATTAAGTGGATGTATGAGTGAGATATTACGTGGATGTATGAGTGAGATATTAAGTGGGTGTATGAGTGAGATGTTAAGTGAAAGTGTGAGTGAGATATTAAGTGGAAGTGTGAGTGCAAGTGGATGTGTGAGTGAGATATCAAGTGAATATATGAGATATTACGCGAAAGTGTGAGTGAGATATTAAGTGGATGAATGAGTGCGATATTAAGTGGATCTGAGAGTGAGATATTACGTTGATGTATGAGTGAGATATAACGTGAATATGTGAGTGAGATATTAAGTGGAAGTGTGAGTGAGATATTATGTGGATGTGTGAATGAGATATTAAGTTGATTGGTGAGTGAGATATAAAGTTGATGGGTTGGTGAGATATTAAGTGAACGGGTGAATGAGATATATTAAGTTGATGTGTGAGTGTGATATTAAGTGAATGTGTGAGTGAGATAAGTGAACGTTTGTTTGTTTGTTTGTTTGTGTGTTGTGTAATGCCGCACTCGGCAATGTTCCAGCTCTTTGACGGAGGTCTGTGAATAATCGAGTCTGGACCAGACAATCCAGTGATTGATATCATGAGATTTACGCAATTAGGATACGATGACACGCATCAACCAAGTGAGATAGCCTGACCACTCGATCCCGTTAGTCGCCTCTTACGACTAGCATTGTCGCCTTTTACGGGAAAGCATGGGTTGCTGAAGAGCTATTCTTACCCAGATCTTCACGGGTCAAGTGAAAGTGTAAATGAGATATTAAGTGGATGTATGAATGAGATATTAGAGTATAATTCTGAACGTTGTGTTTCATACCATGTGTGTCAGCCAGAGCGCTGCCTCTGTGTACTGCGCGAATCCAAAAAGTGTTCAGAATAACTTGAATCAAACTAATATGTCCTGGCCTAGCACCCCTTTAATTATACACCGCCTCCGTGGTCTAGTGTATAGAGCGTCTGGTCGGAGAGTGGAAAGTTGGTGGTTCGATGAGACGTTATAAGATGGTACTTGTTGTTACCGAGCCTGACGGTCGGCATTGAGGGAATAAAACTAGGACTGGTCGGCTCGGAGCCAGTATACTGTGTCTGAGTTGGATTTCCATGTTAAGTTGGGACGCGGTATCTCAGGGGGCTAGCACAATAAAACCGGCATAAGTTCGGACTAATACAGGCAATACACACACACTCGCGCGCACGCACGCGCTTGCAAGCACTTCGCTTTCTTAAGTGAAATAATATTGAATACGACGTTTAACCCAATTTCACCTGTCGCCTTAAATTGTAACACCAATATCAACACAAGTTCGTGATATTGCTGGAATATTGCTAAAAGCGGGGTAAAATCAAACTCACTCACTAATATGTATCCACTTAAGGAACTGATTGTGATTAGGAATGCTGTCATGAGGTTTCGATATAGCCTCTGGGCCGACCACTCAGCTTCATTTCAAGTAAAGATGAACTACACATAGCATATAAACACACAAGTTTAAACCCTTAAGTTGTTCTTTTCTCTGGGTTCTACGACACTGAAGAAAATCGCGGCAATCTTCTAAAAATCAAACCCTTTACATCGGCGTTATTTAACGGAGTCAAACATCCGATTTTAATTAGATTAAACATCATGTTATCCTTATACATATTTTGGTGGTACATATTTTTATGTAATCTCTTCACAGGGCGCTGCCGTTATAGCGATGTTACAGTCTATAATGGGGAAGGACAAATTCTTCGAGGGAATCGCAGTAAGTGCTGGCGACAGAAAACTATCAGATCTTTGGCTTGGCAGCGCTCCAATCAAGAAACTGGCTAATTACCATACCCTCTCATTACTCGTAACGATCATTACCCACGTAAAATGAACATCACATGTGTGAGCTGCTATCAATGTCTCTATTATTAATAGTATCATTCCTCGTTCCATCATTCCAGGAATATCTACGTTAACACGTGTGTTGTATTAGAATATTGACATGAATGTACCTGTCATGGTTCGTGCACTGAGGGGGCGGTGGGGTAGCCTTGTGGTTAAAGCGTTCGCTCGTTACGCCGAAGACCCGGGTTCGATTCCCAACAATTGGTACAATGTGTAAAGCCCATATATGGTGTCTGTCGTCGTTATTATTGCTGGAATATTGCTAAAAGCGGCGTAACACCATACACACTCACACGTACACTGAGCAACAACCGGTAATACTACTATACCCATAATAGAGTATTTTGATACCCTTCGAATGGTATATGTGCACACGTACATGAATTAGAAATTAAGCCATGGTGTTTGCTTTCATTTCAGCAATATTTGAAGAAGTATGAATGGGGCAACGCTAAGACAGACGATTTGTGGCAATCCCTAGGGGAGGTAACTGATGTCTTACTGTATACATTCGCGACCGCTCGTCATAATGTTCTGTAAGGGGCAGTCATTATGTGAAGGTTTTAGTATTATCAAACAGTTAATTAGCTATACGGTCTCATCGAGCTGAAACTCGACCCGAGAATAATGTGTTTTTAGTATTTTGATACTTGATGTTACTGTGGTTCTCATGTGATTTGATCTCTCGCTTGTATGTTATATTTTACTTTACTTCTACCACTTTACTTCATAACACAATCCCATAAAATGGTATGCACTTGAGGAATGAGACCTGTCCCTGTACATGATGGCTCAGTTTCATCATATAGGTCTGTGTAAGCCACGAGAGACACTGAAATGTTTATATATACATTTGGAAAGTCCTATTTTGTTGTAAGGAACTTATACGTTTTGTTCAATATACGAATAGGATAGAATTCCTAGCACCAAAGATATAGTACAAAGCTATAGTACCCTCACCTGAAGGTGAGTGAGAGACTAACTAGGTTGGGTTTAACGCCGCTTGAACAGTATTTCAAATATATCACGGCGTGTCAGCCATTCCCGCGCTCGTGGGTTTCACCATTTCACCGAGGTGGTACATATCTCTAGAAGATCTGCATCACTGCTGTTTTTTTCTCCCAAATCAATGTGCAGGTGTTCTGAAGATGTGTACCATTTGTGAAACCCATGAGCGCTGGAAAGGCACTGACAAAGCTAGAACATGATCAGGTCGAACCGGGATTCGAACCCATGATAATTAGGTTTAGATCGAAGAGGACTTCGAACCCATGATTATAAGGTTTCTGTTAATGCACGCAAATCTGAACAGCGAATTGCGGTGACCGGGTCATCCGTCGAAGAACATATTGAGAAAGAAAGCTTAGTCTGAAGACAGTGAATAGTCGTTTTCTTAGACCACATTAACATACCAAGTAGAATTACACCCTTGGAGGTCTGGGTTAGAATTGGTCTTCAGCATTATTGGTCGCAAGAGGCGACTAAAGGGTTCGGTGATCTGTCTGATGGATGCCTTTGTATCTCATTTGCGTAGATCGATGCTCATGATGTCAATCACTGGATTGTCTGGTCCAGACTCGATTATTAACAAACGGTCGTCATAAAGCTGGAACATTGCCAGAGTACGATGTTAAACAAGAAACAAAGTTAAAAATAACATGAAAATGATAGTTGACAATGGTTGACATTTACCAGGTTCCAGGAGCCCCGGATGTTAAGCATATTATGGACACGTGGACACGTCAGATGGGGCTTCCTTACGTCAACGTGACGTTCCAGCCGTCGTCAAGCGGGGGCACGACTGTGAGAGCCGTACAGAAACGTTACCTCTCTGACCCAAATGCTGTGTATGATGTGGACGAGTCGGAGTTCAAGTAAATATCACCGAAACATGTACAGTGAAACCTCGCAAATCCGGACCCCGTTTTTCAGGAATATATATTACAAAGGATTTTTTTTGTAATTGACTTCAATATGCTTTTGTGGTTATGGGGTAAAAACGTAATAACCGGTGTGTGCACAGTGTAAATCAGTGTGAACACAGTGTGAACATTCCTCTTAAAGTTCATACCTCCATGAACGCAGAAACACAATGAAGTCACTCCACATAAATAAACATGTCACCAATACTAACTTCACAGACTTCTTATTTAATCATTACGCACAAAATGCTGTCTTCGACAATACGAAATCAGTGACATCATTCGGCACAATAATGAACACAGCCCCTGCTCATTCTATTATCAGCCAATCAGGAAATAGTAGTCCGTTAGTGGGCGGGGCTTAAATTGTTTTCAGTTTATGGAAACAAACGCAAATAAGATTGTTTGGTTAGCCAATCAACTGCCACAGAATCACTTGCAATTTATTTTTTACAACATATTCGATCATGAAGGAACTTTCACGAAGAACGATGTTGTTAAGATCAACGTGTTCTACTGTATCTGATAAATTGTGACGGTCTAACTGTGTTTAATGTCATCCTACCACTGTCGTAGAGTTGTGTGGTACCTTCAGTACTAGTTTGTCTACAGGGTGCAATTATATTCATTGCATCTATGCAATAAGGCAGGTGTAGAATATCAGTTGCAGAGTCATTCCAAACCTATTAATTGTTTTCCAAATGTGATAACGGAACAATGTTCAAATATGATGACGTGAATAGCTTCAAGATTTATCTGTATTGTGTATTTATATTATCAGATGTTAATACCTCATTGACTTGTGGAATATCATTTATGAAATATTACTGAGGTTAGTCTTTGTTTGAGTTCTTCCCAATATTAACTGAGACTTAGTTTATAATGGCACACACATTTTTGGAAAGGTAAATTTCGACCGAAAGCAAACATCATTTGAAATTGCTGGGGTCTTTCTGATCCCGATGAGTGGTACGTCACATTATTATCCATTTGCATATTTAAAACTAATTTAAGATTTCAAATGCCCTTTAAAAGATCGTTTTTAGGTCGAGTGGAGAGAGATTCAGTTACATTTATATACACTTTAAAAGTGGTAAGTGGTAAGTGGAATGATACATGCCCGGATTTATTACAGCTCGATTGCAGTTTCATGCAAAAAAAACAGTTTATTTTACAAATAGTAGTTTCAAAAGTAAAATAATGTCAAATGTGTTGTTCTTCAGGTATAAATGGTACATCTCCCTGAGTTACATCACCTCGAGTGGAACAACAGGGACCCACATAATGGATATGACTGACGGTAGGAGACCTCTATCACGTACCCTGTATGTTGAGTGTTATGTTATTTGATCAGAAGCCCCTGGTGGAGTGAGTGAGTAAAGTGGGGGAGGGGTTGTGGAGAGAATACGAGGAAATCACAAATAGGTGCTGGTCGTGAGGTCACACCACGAGAATGGTTTGGGTGCTGACGAACCACAGGCCACAAACGGGGAGCATCTTGAACTGAAACCTACGACAAGAGATTCAAGAAAGCTGGCACTTCAGGGATTTGTGGAGCCTTCGACCACTGGGTCACAAACGGGGAGCATCTTGGATTGAAATCTACGACAAGACATTCAAGACAGTTGGCGGTGCGTCAAATCCATTTGAGGAGCCTTCGACCACTGGGTTTCACAAAAGTGGTGAACATCTACGTCTTCCTATTGCCTCGTAATTCATTAATACTACAGTATTTGACTAAAGTAAGGTCAACATCAATGTTAATCCCCTCGTTTTGATAGTCACTATGATAATTGCATGTTTTTGTTATATTCAATAAATATTGGTTTTAATGCATAGTTGACAGTGTTCCACAATTGTCGGCGGCGAAGCTATTACACGCGTATTATCATTGCAGTTGAAACACTGGATGTTAACGTCGATATGACAGATGCGTCTCAATGGATCAAATTCAACGTCAACCAGACTGGTTTCTACAGAGTTACCTACCCTGATGCCATCTGGAGAAGGTTTGCCACCGTCCTGGCTACAAGCAACCCCTCTGTGAGATCAGATTCTTTGTTTCAATCCTCAAAATTACATCTTAGCAACTCAATCTTAATACAAAATATCCATGACAATCCGGCCATTGCTGGAAATTACGGTCTGCAGACCATTTGGCCAAACAGTGCCACTGTTACTTCTGACACAGAAACAACTTCAACGTTAATACAATCAGTACAGACAAACATGCTTTGCCTAAAGTATATTAGGTCTACTACATAGACATAAAGAGGAACAAGAAAAGTGTTTTTCAAGTGTAAGAACTTGAAGTCATACATGTGTCATATGCTATACAACCATAGTTAAGGACCACCCGATTATTACATATTACTACAGTTAATCTGTCATGGCATGACAGATCAACTACAGTAAACTACGCTTATAACAAACTGACCGATATAACGAATTTACTTGTTAGCCCCGGCCATGTGTTGCATATATGCTGTATATATGCTTATAACGAACTTCGGTTATTACGAACTAAAATGGGTGGTCCCTTTGAGTTCGTTATAACCGTAGTTTACTGTATATTAATTAAAGAGAATCCAGTGGTCCTTAACTTTATTAGTGGCATATATCTATTCCCTTGCGAACAAACTTCCATTATACAGACATGTATATGCATTGTACAAAAGGATGACAAATGACATTGTACAGACTCAAATATAAACATATTAAAACTTATTTATGACATATTTTGCTTATTCCAGAACTTCCCAATCTCCGTCGCCGACAGATCTGCCTTCATTAACGACGCGCTGAATCTTGCACGTGCGGGCCTCCTAAATTACGACGTAGCTCTACATATGACGACATACCTCGACAAGGAGACTAATCACATCCCCTGGGAGAGCGCTTACACCGGCATGGCCTATATCACCAAGATGTTCAGGAGCGGGGGCAGCTTTGGCCTGTGGAGGGTAGGTGACCTACTACATGCCAACATTAGCTTCAAGTACATCATTTTGTTGTGAAAGCCTTGCCACTGTATGACGGCGGTCTGTAAATAATCGCATCTGAACCAGACAATTCAGTGATTGACATCATGAGCATCCAGCCACTTAATTTGGATACGATGACCAAGTCAGCTAGCCTGAACACCTGATACGGCAAGCATGGGTTGATGAAGACCTATTCTAACCCGAATCTTCGAGGGTCGAGAGCCTACTGTTCTTGGGACCCAGTAGTCTGGTTGTGTACCATCGTACCCAGGTTTCGTGGATGACTGAACATGTTTTTCACTTTGCCTGGTCCAGACTCGATTAATGGTTGATGTTGGCTGAATATTGCTGAATGCGACATTAAATATCATTTTATCAATAATTCACTCCAGTGGTCTACCAAATACAAAATCGATCTAGTATATGTGATCTCAATTTGAGCAGTTCGTCGGTCTTGAGGTCAATAATATTCGCATGTTTATTACATCTTTGTAAGCTACGTATACATTATTGTAAATGTTGAATTGTCAACGCACATCCAAATGCAATTCATGTTTCCCCTACAGCAATACGTGTTGGCCAAAGTAAACCCAGCCCTCGCCCGACTAGGATGGGAAGACACAGGCAACCATCTCTCTAAGTAAGACACATGACGCACCTGTTCTTGTACAGCCACTGTTTGACAAATACAGAAAATGTTCGTCCCTACCATGCTGGTTGTAATTAAAACGTAATGCACAACTGTTCACAATTTCGATCACTTCACACTCCCACCTCTAATTTAACTGGGTGATTTCATTGAGCTTCCGATGTGACATCGTACCTCGATGACGTGGAACGTGCGCTCAATCACTGCTTTGTCGGAACAAGACTCAACTGCAGCGTCAAACAGTATTCATTCACACACTCACGTTGTGATACCACTATGTCTATCGCAAAGACACACATATACTCTGTATAAACCTGTAACGACTCATCCGACGATATATTATTGTGTGTCGAACACTATGCTCTGACCGACCGAGAGATCTCAGAAGATATACATCAATAACTAACAAATATTCTCCTTATGATTTTTCCGACGGTATATGAATGCCTGCAATCGTTTTATGGTTTCCTGACACACATCACGTTACGGTAATGGTTGACACAATATTGTATTTTACATATCATTTATACTTTTACAGGTTAATGAGAAGAAACCTTATTGAACTTGCGTGTGGACACGGCGATGTAGAATGTCTTGGTAATGCCACTGCCAAGTTTAGGAACTGGCTAGATAATGGCGTGGAGTAAGTATGGACTACTGTCTGGATTTGAGAAAGCAGTTATCAATATAGTATGTGTGCTCCAGTAAAGGATATGCTGCAGTTACGCGGTCTAGGCATATTCCCCTACGGCCAACCCAAGACCTGTCCCCCCTCCCAATTTCCTCCGGGTCAAAAATACCCCCTAGGCCCCCTTGGGGGTATGGGGGTTTGACCCAGAACATTCTTTGCTTCAGACTGTTGAAATAACTATAAAACGAAAGCACTTGCAGCTTTTGGGTTCATGACCTGTTCTCCGCCTACTCCAAGATGTCTATGGGACGACATGTAGAGATATATGCTTGCATATCATCAGATACGGATTTCACAAAGGAGACCTCAAGACCTACCGCAAGACCTGCCGTACTTTACAATATTCAATTAATAACATAATGGCATTTTTATAATCTAAATTCATTATCACTTCTTTTGCCTCATGGTTTTATCAGGGAATAGCCAAACTCTTGACAGTCCACTATTTGCCAATACAGGATATCTCCCAATCTTCGTCCTCGTGTCTACAAATACGGCATGCGCAGTTCCGGAAGTGCCGCTGATTGGGACAAGATGTGGAAGAAGTACCAGACTGAGTCGGTGCCGCAGGAGCGAGTCAACTTCCTGTACGCTTTGGCTCAGACCAGAACAGTGTGGCTGCTCCACAGGTATACCTTAAAATAATAATATTAATTTTTTGGAGCACTTTTGCACACATTTATTTGTCTGATGATCCTCTTGTGAAGTATGTCAAGACTCATGATGACAATTAGGCATTCAGTTTTCTAAAACGAGCCAAGGATGTGGGACATTATCTCAATGTCGGTGTTGATTTTGTTGATTGTTCTGTACTGCTGGACGGTACAGAAATGAGTGTCAACCAAGCGAAGTGCGATATCAAATCGGCCCAGACTCAATTTTTCAAGGAGAGGCTTTCTGAACGACCACTGCATCGAGTTTATGTGCAGTGTGTTGAGAGGATCAGCAATCCTGCAGAGTCCTTCGCTTGGATGAAGTCGTCTGGCCTGAAAAGTGAAATAGGAGGCTTTCTGTTATCTGCTCAAGACCAGTCACTTCCAACTCGAAACCGTCAATGTGTGATTTTGTATCAAAATGTAAATATGACATCATTATGTAATGAATTTAATGAGACTGCCCAACACATTGTGAGTGGATGCCCAGCTTTGGCACAGACACGGTATCTTAAGCGACATGAAGGGGTGGCTCGATCATTTTATTACCGTCGTCGCCATGCTTGTGGTTAATCCATGGTACGACACGGAATATATAGAGGGCGTCATGGAAAATGATAAATACAAAATCCTTTGGGATAGGCCCGTATACAGCCTCGGACATATTTTAATCTGTAAATAATAATAGTCCATTTGTATAGCGCATATATCCATGCATAGTGCATGGTCAAAGCGCATAACAGAAGTCATTTGGTAGACAGTTAATCTGAAGAGATAGGAAAGTAGAAAGTTCACTGCAGTCACGGAGGTGTTGTGGTAGATTGTTCCAGGCAATGACCGCTGAGTATGAAAAGGAACGTTTGCCATATGGAGTTATCGCTGGAGAGCAATGGGGTTTCACCGTAACCCAACGGCTGAGAAATAATTAAACTTGTATATCCTGTTCCATGGATATTACTGACTTAAATGATGCAAAGGCATCTTAAGCTCATTTTCTCGTAATCCGAGAATTGAATTTCACCATAACATAAAGCGGAGTGCAGAGTTGCGTCCCTGTGACGTGACAGTATCCTTTGATCGTGTGTACGAATCCTAGATACGTCCTCATTACGATTTGTGGGTTTGACGGAAGTGGTAACGTCAACACCATCCATAACTAACTTAAGTTGACGAGCCATGATATAATTCAAACCACAAAAGTCACTTACTAACTCTACATTCACTCATTATTGCACTAGGTATTTACTGTAGGTTTACACCGCTTGGCAGACAATGTAACGTTAGTGAACATGCATTGTGAATTGCGATCTACTGATGACGTTGTTGACCTCAGGTACCTGGACTATGCAAAGAACGAGAGTATGGTCCGCCAGCAGGATTTCTTCTCCGTCATGAGCTACGTCAACCTCAACCCTGTCGGTAACAGCATCATATGGAACTGGGCCAGAGAAAACTACGAGGAGCTGTTGGGCAGGTAACGTGAGACACGTCACACGTGGTGGAGATGATGATAACTAGGATGAGAATGATGACGATGATGATGACTAGGATGAGAATGATGACGATGATGATAACTAGGATGAGAATAATGACGATGATGATAACTAGGATGAGAATAATGACGATGATGATAACTAGGATGAGAATAATGACGATGATGATAACTAGGATGAGAATAATGACGATGATGATGACTAGGATGAGAATAATGACGATGATGATGACTAGGATGAGAATAATGACGATGATGATGACTAGGATGAGAATAATGACGATGATGATAACTAGGATGAGAATGATGACGATGATGATAACTAGGAGGAGAATAATGACGATGGTGAAAACTAGGATGAGAATAATGACGAAGATGATAACTAGGAGGAGAATAATGACGATGATGATAACTAGGATGAGAATAATGACGATGATGATAACTAGGATGAGAATAATGACGATGATGATAACTAGGATGCGAATAATGACGATGATGATAACTAGGAGGAGAATAATGACGATGGTGAAAACTAGGATGAGAATAATGACGATGATGATAACTAGGATGAGAATGATGACGATGATGATAACTAGGATGAGAATAATGACGATGATGATAACTAGGATGAGAATAATGACGATGATGATAACTAGGATGAGAATAATGACGATGATGATGATGACCCACGCAAGGCCCGGATTGGATTCCGTACATTGGTACAATGCGTAAAGCGCATTTCTGGTTACCTCCGCTGTATTGTTGCGGGAATATTGCTAAAAGCAGCGTTAAACCATACTCGCTCATTCACTCCCAAATATACTCACCGCCAAAAGAAATGCGAACCATGGAAACATATAGAGAAGTATGAACTCTAAGAAGAGATTTGTCCAATGTGTACCCTTAATGACAAAACGAAAAGTCAAGTGTTGCTAGGGAGTGTTTTTAGTCTCATCACGACATGATGCACGTGATTTACAAACTTTACACGCTAATCCTCGTCACACTTTCATGTGATGCGTTCATGAGCGTCTGTTCACACAACATAACAGTGTGTTCGTTTGTGCATCGAACAAATCTAATATTTCTTGAATATGAGTAATTCTTCATATATTAACCCATATGTATGGCTTTGGCGTATCTTTTGTCGGTGAGTATAGATCAGTACACCACAGCAATGGGAAATGGGCTACCTTTTTAAAGGGACGCAACTGTTACATCTTGAGATATTTTACTAAGGCGGATTTCAGATGTCGAGGAAGGTGTCGAGGAGACGGGAGTACGGATGTGTATATTGTTATGAATAGGTAGTTAAATAGTGTTGTTGCAAACGAAAAGAACACCGCCGGGACATTTGTCAAGAAATTTATTAATTCAAAACATCAACGTCAACTCCAGAAAATAATCAGTCCCGGGTATCTGCTGAACAGATTCCACTGGGCGTAAATGGCAAAATAGTGAAGAAAATTATGTGAATGGTTCACTTAAAATCAGTGATGACACCAGGTGTTCAGTCACTCACACAGTGTGTATAAAAGAGGTAAGTGTGTGTCTGTTTCCTAATTCCTGCCATACGAGGGCGGCCTTTAAACGATCGAGTCTGAATACTATTTTATCGTGGGACAAGTTGATTGAAACTGAGGATTATTAAAGTGTTAGTTTATTTTGTTGATTTTATGGTTGTCTCTCGTCAAGAGAAAAATGTTCCGGAACACCAGTTCTGTTCTTATATGCAGTGTTTCGTCTGCAGCAAGTACATTATTCGATATCGGTCTTTTTTACCCCAATATCCTCAGTGTCATTATAATTATTGGGGGGCACGGGTGGCCCAGTCGTCTAAGGCGCCGCGATTCGCCGTGCAGAGTCGCGTCCCCTGGGCACGCCAGAAACCTATGATTGTGGGTTCGAATCCCGGTTCGCCCCGATTATGTTTCTAGGTTTGTCAGCACTATACCCGGGCTCGTGGGTTTCACCGAAGTGGTAAACGTCTGAAACCTGCATCACTTCGGCTTTCCTTCCACCTTAAGCTGACACGCCGTGATATAACGGGAATACTGTTAAAAGCGGCGTTAAACACAACTCACCCATTATAATTATTGCCCTGTGGGGATTCCGCGTTAGAATTGCGCCTGATGCCTATGTTGGTCGTTAGAGGCGTCCAAATGGACAGGGTGGTCAGGCTCGGAAACTTGGTTGATCATGTCAGCCTACACTGACGGTTTTTAGTGGTTGCTCACAAAATCGATTGTCTGGTCCAGAGTCGATTATTCACACGCTGCCGTCATATAAGTGGAATATTGCGAAGTCCAGCTTTAAACAACAAACAAATAAACATGCAAACATAATAATTATCATAATGAGTAACATTTCACTTTTTTGCAGATTCACCCTGTACTCCCGGTCGTTCGGTAGAATGATCCCAAACATCATCAAAGATTTTAACACAGAGTTTAAGCTGACAGAAGTAAGTGAAACGATATTCCAACTTGGATGCCGGTAGTGAGGGGGTGTTCTTAAGTGTCAACCGCCCGACAGCTTTGTCAAGCACGGCGTGAAACCTTTCTCTCTTCAAGTCTTTGAAAGGCATTTAGAAGTGATACACATAAGGAAGACAATTCATGGATGTCTATACATCTATTCACCTGAGGAAGGAGTAATTACATACTCCGAAACCTTGTCTTCCTCATAATAAAGAAGTTGACATCCACTTCATCAGGTGAGTAGATCTGTAGACATCCATGAATTCGCTTCCTTAAGTGTATCACTATAGTGTATCACGTTTGTGAATCTATAGATCTGTAGATCTATTCACCTGATGAAGGAGTAAGCATATACTCCGAAACTTTGTGTTACTCATAAATTATCCTCCTTTCTCGCCGTGTCTTATCATTGCTCTGCAGAAATTGTCATTACAGAAATTGAAGCGTTCATAAAATCCACACAATTCAATTATTTCGGTGTCGTAACTTTTCATATTCACAATCTCTTCAAATCTCAGCATAACAAAATTATGTTCATGCATTTGTAACTGAATAAAAACAGTTTCAAATTAAGCAGTTTATAATAAAATTACATGCAGCATATCAAATCAAAGTGCCTTGTGAGTTGCAACCCTAACTCGCTGATCTTCCCAGTGTTTCTTTAAACACGTCCATCAGTACACAATTCTTTCGATGACTAATAAAGAAACATAAACTTAGGGACACGAAAGTATGCCGGGTTTTTTGTAATTGAAAATTGAAAGAACTCTTGTTAAATTTGATTATGTCTTTTTAACCATCACCCTTTCCTACAACAGTTTGTAAAAAGTTATCTGTAGCTGGGAAATTCTGTGTAAAAATAAATTGGTTCAAACGACTGGGGTAAGCAATGAATTTGCAACCACATGACCCTTCCCATTTTTGAAGTGTTTGTGCCAAAAATCTGATTTTCAACGATAACATGTCAAAGATACCCATCAGCAGTTGTGTAACATGCGACAAAATGTTTATAATTATTAAAAGTTTTAAATCAAATTAATATTATTTTAAATGTAACAAAAAATGATTTTCAAAGATTAGATGTCTAAGATACCCATGAGCAGTTGTGTAACATGCAACACAATGTTTATATTCATTTAAAGTTTTAAATCAAATTATGTTTTTAAGAAATGTAACAATGTCGATTCTTTGATTGCTGACTAATCGCCAGTAGAGTTCATTTTTTATACAATTTCGCTAACTTAAGACATTTGCAACTGAAAATCAAACATATGATAGATTTAACTGAGTTGTAACGTTTCTGTTGCCCCTCAGTTTATATGTTGGTATTTGGCCATTTCACAGTGTGTTTATCTATTTTCATTTTATTTGACGGAATGATTTCTCATCAGCATTTTTACTATTAGTTACTTTTGTTTTAACTAATATATATTTATACATATAAAGACCTTTCCACAATCATAAGAAAGCTCTGCTAAAAGCAGTCCATTGTACCTTTACGACCATAACATAAGCAAGTGTTTATGAATTACTATCAACTAGTGATGATACGAAAAAAGGTACCCACTGGTGGCACAAGTCACAAACACATACAGAGGCAAGTAGATTGTTACCTGAAAAGAACGGCTACATATGGTAAAAATTCAAGTAGGGAATTATATCGGACATGGCTTTGGTCACCCTTGGAGATGCCCACATGTCTACCACAAAACAACATTTGAGTAAGAGTGGCACATGGTATGACGCTCTTTGAAGTTTTCGTAGAAAGATCATGTTCGATTGTACTTCAAAAGTTGTAAAGTGTTGACACCAAAGGCTGGAGCTGCTTGAATATTGCTCGAAAGTTGACAATTGGAAAGTTGAAGCCATCTCTTTTGTCATAAATATTTGTGGAGAGCCTTATGCATAGATTTAAATATGAAACAGATGAGACGGCAATTAAATGTTTTCGAGTCAATTGAGAAACCATCAATACCTACAAAGGAATGACTCCTTTGTCATTCTGCATTGTTAAAATGGTGCAAATTCCCCATGTATTAGTCATTTAATCACACTGCTACATGCCGTGGAGCTAATTAAAATACACAGATACCGGCGTGGGTCTTCATGCATAGAGCTCGCGTTTGTACAAACATGAGAACAAATTCCGCTCATATGAGTTGTTTCCTAAGGCTATTTTTCAGCAACAAAATTACTAACATACATGTAGTATCACATGAGTTTAAATCTAGATCTCAAACACGTCATACATTTCGTATTTTGATTTCAAACTTTAAGTAAACAACATTTCTTTTGCGAACAACAGTGGAATAAGACGAAAAGTCTACAGAAAAGATATTTTCCTCACATGGCAGTAACATGATATACATGATTTCTTGTAGTCCTGATGTTGTCGCTCGAGAAACTGAGTATTTATGTCCCACGCAAATAAACATATGGCTGACATGATGCACGGTCCAAAAAGATGTATGTCCAAAAGTGACACTTATATTTTTCATAACCGTTGAAGTACTAAATGAATAGTGGCGTTGTACAAGTTATACACTCAGAAAATAAAACTAACAAGTTACACTACAAACATAAATATTTTGTTCAAATTGGTTTGAGGACAAGACAGATCAGTATCTCAACCAAGTCTTTTCTCAATTTAAAGAAGCGCCCGGAGGCACGGGTGGCCCAGTCGTCTAAGGCGTCGCGATTCGCTGTGCAGAGTTGCGTCCCTTGGGCACGCCAGAAACCTATGATTGTGGGTCCGAATCCCGGTTCGCCCCGATTATGTTTCTAGGTTTGTCAGCACCATACTCGTCCTCCCACGTTAAGCTGACACGCCGTGATATAACTGGAATACTGTTAAAAGCGGCGTTAAACCCAACTCACTCACTCACTCACTAAAGAAGCGCCCAAAATGAAATGTTAACAAATGTGTTATAGTTATTTTTATTATTATCCAAATATATGTTTTTGTCTTAGAAAATATTATTCGTATAATTACTTCCACAAATATAAATACCAGAGTAAAACACCATTTAAAAATTGTTATGCTAATTTCGAACTGATATATTCCTGAACGGCAAATTGAAACCATTTTCATTTCTGCAAACTCAACCCGTATCAATTCAAATATTACAAGTTATGTAATGAGAACTGTCGCTGCTAATTCTGCAGCATAATTACTACCCACGTTGAGCCAGGAAAATACTTTGCCATTTTATCCCGATAACTAAGCTTGAAATAAAACCTAGTTGGCCAGATTAAAACCTTGCTTTATGGAGCCCCATCACAGATTGAAATCATCCTTTATCGAATCCCACCCCACACTGAATTCTTACTTTATGGATCCCCACTCAAGATTGTTATCTTTCTTAATGGAACCCCACCCCACATTGAAACCTTGCCTTATCGATCCCTATCCCACATTGAAAACTTTCTTGAATAAACTTCATCCCAAATTGAAATCTTGCTATAGGAAGATCCATCCCTGATTAAAACTTTACTTTATGGAGCCCCACTAGCGATTAAAACCTTGTTTTATAGAGCCCCACTTCAGGTTGACTTGTTGGAATCCAATGAAATAAAATCTCTCCTGGAAGCTGAAATCTTGCACTGTTAACCTTTATATTGCAGGTCGAGGCATTTTTCAAGCAGTACCCTGAAGCTGGTGCCGGCGACAGACCCCGGAAACAGGCCCTGGAAACCATCAAGAGTAACATCAACTGGGTGAAGACTCATCAAGACACCATCATCAGCTGGTTGCAAAACAACATGTAAAACAGGACAAATTATTTTTTTACTATCGACACCAGAGCATCGGGGTTTGACTTCCCTACAAAATAATCCATCTTGCATCAAGAAGGTATGTTAAACCTTTCATTTGTAATTGCAGATTTAGATAAGGACGATTGATTTGACATCTTGTATTTATTACAAAATAGTATCGTTTTCCCGTTATCATGCATATCTTCATGATACAAGTTGACATAATACAAGTAAAGTCTGTTCTGCTATCCGTTAATGCCTCTTTTTCTCCACCCATTAACCACAATGTTGACATCATAGACAAGTACTTTGGAATCTTTAAATGTTTAAATCTTTTCTGCTATTTCTTTAACAAATTGAAACAGGTCAATCCTTGTTAATTTCGTGGTTTATTTTTCATTTAAAAGTATTCATCCCAGAGACGTTGATAGGATTCATGTAGCATGATGCAAACATCTCAAATATTGTTCGATTGCATTTCTACATATATGTACGCTCTTCCTCTGTAATTACCATGTCATTGTGGAATTAAAAGGAGACAATAAAATAAAAAGACAAAATATCCAGGACACAGGAAGTACCGTCTGCCAACAGTTAGGTCACAATGTCTGGAATCTTGATGGTTTTAACAAGAAACCCTATTTCATGGTTTTGAATGATCGGATGTCTATTCAACAAATTAATTGCTTTTCAATGCCTGAGAATTGATTCTATTTTTTTAATTTATGCGTTCGTCAGAATAATATACTTCAATTGAACGTCATTATTAGGTGTGGCATGTTTCAAAGTGTGTGTTAGTTTGTGTTTGTGTTTCTCATTAGTTTTTGAAATTAGTTGATGTTTACATAATTTTAAAAAAGTCCCGTTTTGCCGTTGTCAAATATTCCGTTCTTGTGCCATTTGGAAAAGTAATTTTACCATTAATGTCTCAAGTTATGTTTATAACAGAATTTCTTTGTGTTTTTAATCAACATATACCACATCATATCAATTCAACTATGCCTAGATGACTAAAACTAATTTAATATATTTTGATATAATTCGGACTAAATTATATCTAATTATGTCCCTTTACTTATTGAAATATGAACTTTTCCAAGCACGGTAATTTGCAACTTTAAAATGGACCTTTCTCTTTGAATGTTGTGTCCTGTATTCATGCTTGTTGTGTCCTGGTGCGTTCAAGTTGTAGTCCATTCTAAATACAAACTTAAAAAAACATAACATTTATAGAACATATATTCTTTGTTAGTCTTTTATTCTCGTCCCGTCTTTTCAGGAATAAACAGAAATGTGTTGTTATGCCCTTTACTCCCAATCACCCATACTTTATATCAATAGGAACATTGTACGTTAATCCTCCATGTTGTCTTATATTGTTAATCAATTTATCATTCTTCATGCATTGTAAATATTCAGAGTGAGTTTTCTTGAAACTGTATCATTTTATACATTTCAATATCCCCTGTAACAGAATACGAATAAATGGCATATATAACTGTGTCGATGGCTTGTCATTTTAATGCACAGTGGCCAGCCTTTGATAATCTTCCTGTTGTTGCGATCTGCACGGATTACTTACATGTACGTATAAATACCCAGTATCCCTATCACAATTGAGCACTACACAGAGCTGGTTATGGAGTATTCTATCTCTCACGGTGGCCTGTAAAAGTTCAGTCGAAGCCAGCAAAACTAGTGGTTGATATTATGAGCAATGTTCGACGCTCCCGAGGCAAAATGACACGCTATCCATCAAGTCATCAAGCCTGATCACGCTTTCCAATTCAGTCGCCTCTTTTGACAAGCAATAGATTGTTTGGGACCTTGTCGAATCAGGCACCCTACATGTCTGAGAAGGTGTCCTGAATAGGTCTTCAGCAACCCATGCTTGCCGTAAAAGGAGACTATGCTTGTCGTAAAAGGCGACTAACGGGATCGGGTGGTGAGGCTCGCTGCCTTTGTTGATGCATGTCATCGATCCCAATTGGGTGGATCGATGCTCATGATAACAATCACTGGATTGTCTGGTCCAGACTCGATTATTTACAGACCGCCGTCATATAGCTGGCATATTGCTGAGTGCGGCGTTAAACAACAAACAAACCAACCTGAACAGTGACATCATTGTTGCGGACCTCGTTATCCCGGAAACCTCACCTCCGGAAGATTATTGTTTGGAACGCCTACATATGTGTACGTATACAGAGACACAACTCCGTAACAATGTTTCGTTAATCAGGAAGATTTCATAGGCAACACCACTGTCAGAGTTTCATTGTATATTATATGCTAGTGACTGGGTGAGTTTGGTTAAAATCCGCTTTGAACAGTTTTGCAGTTATATCACAGCGTGTCAGCTTAATGTGGAAGGAAAGCCCGAGGTGATGCAGGTACACAGATTACACATATCTGGACAAGACCCGAAATCATTAGTGCCATCACAAAATAAAATCAACACACTATAAACAAATATGTTTGTTTAAAGTGAGGGAATATAATATTAGTCGAGGTTTGATACTGGGACCTTCTGACACTGGAAGAGCGAGCTGGTCGGCCTTGTGGGATGCCCTCATGAGCATCTTCCAATAAAGATGTAACCTTCGCCAAGAAGAATCTTATACGGCATCAACTAAGAATGAGTTAATTGTAACACAGTAAAGTTTGCTTGGATGTTAGATAGGACTAAACATTGAATGTTTCGACGCTTCTACTGTCAGAACAACAGCTTTCACCGCATTACAATCATGTGATATTCAATCCTGGTTTGAACTCGACTCGAAACCAAAGGCCGATAACTCGTTCCGAACTCGGGACAATGAGATATTGCAACTGGTACTTAAATCGAAAATTTAAATTTTAAAAAATGTAATTGCTCATCGTGTGTGAGCCGCGAGACCACACACTAAGAGGTGTAACCCATAGCCAATTGCACCCAAGCAAGCTTTATGGCCCGGCGCCTTATCAATCTTGGCGTCGGCTCTGGCTCACCCCACTACTCAGAGAGAGAGCGAGGGTTCATTACGTCTTGGAGCGACATCCTCCACTTTACCGGCGAACAGTAAGCTGAGAAGGTACTCGAGGCAGATGAAATGGGGGCTTACACAGACTGGGATCTTATCACAATCTTCCGATCAGCTCCTACCCAGTTTGACTTTGATGATGACTCCAGAGTTATTATATGACGATGGCGAGTTTAAGTTTTAATAAATTTGTATTATGTAACTGAAAGATTTGAAAGTCAATTTATTGTCGGTCCTCGTCTATTAACTCAACCAATTCCATCTCATCAAATATTACTATTTATAATGAAAATGCGTGACAAAATGTCAAATAATTTGCACAATATGTAAGCTTAAAGAGTACTTTGGCTGTACAATCAGAACTGAGACAGAACTAAATAATAACATATAAATTTAAATTTGAACATGCGAATATAGTTACTTTTGAATGGTGTGATTAAAAACTCTTCTGTTACCACAAATTCACACACGCCCTGTGCTATCCATATTCATTGATAACCTCGCTCACATCTCATGGATGGTAGGGTAGCCTAGTGGTTAATGCGTTCGTTTGTCTGGTCATATTTGGTTGGTTGGTTGGTTTGTTGTTTAACGCCGCACTAAGCATTATTCTAGCTATATGACGGCGGTCTGTAAATAATCGAGTCTGGACCAGACAATCCAGTGATTAATATCATGAGCATCGATCCACGCAATTGGAACCGATGACATGTATCAACCAAGTCAGCGAGCCTCACCACCCGATCCCGTTAGTCGCCTTTTACGACAAGCATAGTCTCCTTTTACGGCAAGCATGGGTTGCTGAATACCTATTCTACCCCGGAATCTTCACGGGTCTTGTCTGGTCATAAATCCCGGTTCGATACCTTTGATTGTTGCCAAAATGGAGCATAAAATTCCATTCACGTACATATGTATGTGTTGTTCAAATAATATATTGCAACAAGAGCAGGTTTAAAATGGTTTCACCTTCCCTAATGCCACAAAAATGTATTATTTATTTAATTCAATGAGTATACGTGCATGACAGCAAAATGTCATATCGTCACTGACTACACTGATGATTAGATGTGAGGGTGTAGTAACAAGTCACAAGCCACTTATTCCACTCAAACCTGCGTCATTTGCCAAGGAACACCTAATCTTCATATCGTGTTAACTGTAGGGTCTTGTTTTGATTGATGGCAGTAAAACCCAGATGGTTGTCTTATTGGGTTTATCACGCTATAATGAATTCTTGTTTCCAAAGCATCACTCAGACGTGCAGCTGTGTTACATTGCACTGGATTCCGTTGACATTCCATTGAAGAAAACATAACGTTTTGGAAACATTACAAGGAATTGAATCCAGACAAACGAAGTATTGATTGAAATATTATAACTTTACTCAAGTGGATCGTATGTTTCGTGCATCGTCGTTTGTGACATTGCCTACTGTCGGACGTCCAGTGACACTCATAATGAAACCTTAAAGGGATTAATTTATTTTGAACGGTAAAACGAGGCTTGATGTTAAGAGGAAAATCTCACTTCGTTCTGTGAAGAGTATGTAAGTCAATTTCATCATACATGTAGATATGGAGTCGATACCACTCGTGGCACCGTGTCATAGAAACTGAACTGCCGGGCAAAAGAAAGTATACACCCATATTTCATGGTAGCTAAAAATGAAACAATCAAGAAATGGTTATTAGATGGTAATATGATACGGGTGTCATGGTAGTGTTTTGGACCTTAAGTTTGCAATGATTCAGCAACTACTTTCATTCCAGAAACGTATTTATCAAATTTTATTGTACAATTTCTATTGTCCGGCAGTTACCATGTACCATTTATCCTTTCATGATTAGAGAAGCATTTTATGTCGGAGATATACAATAATCATCCAAGTACCTCTCCCGTCATCTGCATAACCCTACGGAACTAATACAAATAAGGAATACCATTTATGAGAATAATGAGCGTTCTATTATGTAAATGTTAGTATCAGCTTATGTATGCTTGTTCGCGAAGGAGGGCTCCAAATGGTTTAGAGGAAATCTTAGTCTTATTAAATGGATATATATTCACACATTTTTTTTACCATCATGACTATGGAGCAGGAATGGGTTTAGAGTTTGTGTAGGGAGTCATTACATACTGAAGCTTCTTCCACGACCATTGAAAATTCAAATAGCATTTAATCCGGGATACAATTCCGAACTGTGACTCACTGAATACATAGAAGTGGCATCGCTTTCAAGGCCCTCCGTGGTTCCCACCCAGTATCATAACGCACCTGATTGAACCTATCGGCAGGGTCCTCGCTGCACTATTCTAGTGTCAAGATGGGACAATACCACCTCAGAGAAGCAAACACTGTCACGGTGCCGAAATCCTACACTATAGGGTCAACTCTCTTATCGATATACATACAGATCTCGAGGAGTGAGCGGTTTAAATTTCAATTACATCCCCAATTAGGTGCTTTTGCATTCAGGACGCACGAATATGACAGGCCGAGGAAGAATAAGGAAAGAACCGAAATCTTTTTCAAACGATAAGACGCCCGACTTCCATTGGTATATGTGAAGTGATCCCATTGCGGAGGCCTTTATACGTTTGGAGGACAGACTTAGAGTCCATTCAATAGTTTGAGTATATAGCCCGGTACGGCATGTACGCATCGTCCATGAAAACATAGAGAATAAGTTTTAAACACGATTTGCCTCCGCACACCATTAATCAGGTCTCTAATCCACTGCTAGACTTTGTTGCTCGAATAAAAGATGGCGTTGAGTTTCTGCCGCGCGGCTGTTTGTTAAGGCTGAGTGTTAAAAGAGGGGCACAGTACACAAGGGTCTTCCTCTACTCAGATAAAAGCTCAGCTAGAAAGAGCTATCAGTTGGAAAAACGAAAACATTTGGTGACGCTTCGGAAGGCTCCCAAATTGTGATCGACTATCACTGGGTATGGAATCGCATCAAGGGTCACCAAGGGCGTACATTGTAGCGATGGTAACTTTGTTACTATATGTTGACGCTGTCAGTTTGGTTTATTTAAACATTATTCCCTCATACTTCGCTGGGTGAAATATAAAGTAGGTATTCATGTCCGGTGACATGACTAAAATAATTTTGTATGACTGAATGTATTGACGTATATCATTTCGGTGAATAAAAGTTAAACTGTAATTTATTTAAGAGATTTTTTTATTTCCATTCGGTATAATGATTTCAAAAAGATAGTTACGCTCTTTGAAAGGCTCTTAATATCGAATTTCTTTCATAAGCAGTAATTAGTTTTAATTTCGTAGTTTGCATAATGGATGGGTTTTACAGACATGCCTATAACATAGAATCGTATTAAAACTGTTTCTGCTTTTAACAGAAATCTCTTCATCATTGAAAGAGTTTTGTTGATTATGTTTTCATTTTCAATGTATACCTATCAGATGTTGTAAAACTTAATTCTCTTAGTAATGAACTTTTTACAGTAAGT